TACCCGGCGTGCGATCAGAACGATTACACAAATTAAGTATTTCCTTACCGCCTTTAAAACTCCCTGTTCGTCGTTCTTTTGTAAGTGTAGCTGTTAGTTTAATTAGGGCGGAAACGTGGCGATCCCTTCCATCAAACACTCAACAAATTAAATGAGAAGTTCAGTTCAAAATATCGACCATCAGAGTTCATGATATAACATTTGGCGAAATTCCCATATCAACACACTCAGAAGCTATTGTTCCACAGCGCGAAGACAAGGGGCCTCGCACCCTCTGTATTCCGATGCTGAACGGCGTCTAGGGGACGTGTGTACTCTGACGCAGACTAGAAAGCCCGTCATTGCACGCGAAACGCCAAGCGGTTCCTTGATGACAGGTGCCACAACCGTGGTTCAAGTCTTGCGTGCCAGTTGTACGTTGGCCCATAATGGTACTGTGTGTGCCCGCGTGTCTCCGAAATTATTGCATTTCGATATTATTATGGCATATTGTGTGACCAGAGGCTGCACTTAAAGTTTCCGGTGACAAAACTTGAAAAGCAGACTTCATTAAGTGAATAAAAACAAAAGACATTTCTATGTTTCAGACTTCACGACACCGAGAAAGCGAAAGTCTTGGGGGGGGGGGGGGAAGTGTCGAGAAAGGTTTCACAAGGAATCCCCTGAGAGCGCGGTTCCTTTTAAAGCAATAATTTACATAACAGTGGCGAAGCGTCAATAAATAACGCTGAACAGGACACGCTAAGCGTGCATTTTGACTTGAAGAAAATCTGACGTATTTTTTATTCCAACCTTAAGAGAACTGGATTACTTTATTGATCTCTGCCAAGCGTTTTGCAAAGATTGCTTATGCACGGCCTGTCTTTCGAGTTCGGTCGCACGCTTAAAATTACAAGCCGTCGCAAATTGCAGTCCTTCAGGAAGATGTGCAGCTCGCCACGACAGGGGGCGGCCCGTCAGCTCAAGTGTCGGCCGATTCGATACACTCAGGACAAAAGCAGAGATAGAAATTGAGGTCCAAATGACAGGACGTCACCATTTATCAAGCATGAATGTGTAACAACAGTTTACAAGTTCCTGAGGGCAAGAACAAGTTATGTCACGAGGTTTCTCAGAAAGACACATCCATCCTCTGGGTTGACATTTCAGCTGACTAACAACTGGCCTTTGTCTGTGACTATGACCAGCCAATTTCACTTGAAAATTTTAACAATTTTGGAAGTCGGAGACAGGACTTTACGAGATTATTTAATCATGCTTCTATAGCGTTTTGTCTGCGACTCGGCGGCTGGTTTAATCCCATCAGCAACGAGGAGTTCAGTATGTCAGAGTACCGAGGACCGGCATCCAGATTGCTTGTTAAATGCTAAAGTTTATAGCAGCCCATAATACTACTGGCGCAGATAATTAACGAACAGTGATTAATTTGAAACTTTATGGTGTGTGAAAACTCAATACTAGTGTAATTACTCTGTACCGGAGCCTCGTCAACGGCATACCTTATGTGCAGACTCTAAAAATCACAATCATCATCACCTTTATAATTTCCTTCATTTCGTTGTACTCTAACCACCGACATCGCTTCTCGATCCATCAGCACTCGTTTCTACAGTGCAGCCCCTAATCTCACGACTCATCTACCTCATGGTTATCAACTACAGAGCCAGAAACCTGTAACCGGTATCCACTGGTGCCTAAACCCAATTAATTAACCTAATTGTGCACACGGAATAGAAAGGCCAAAGTGAAGTCATAAAACGACACTCAATTGAGTACTGCAGGTGCTTTGAGGAATCTGTGTTTAACGATCGTCTTGACCGAAAACAAGTGTACACGGCGTGAAAGTCGTGGCGTGGTATGTGAGCAGCGTTACGATAATAACAGGTGCAATCTATTTTGAAGAAACGATAAATTTCGAGCGACGTGAGATTAATTATTACTTGATCAGTCGACTGAAGGTGAAGAAGGTGTGGGCATCCATGCTGAACAGTCCTACAGCCCACACAGCTGATAATTCTATGTACGAGGTGCGATCAGAAAGTTTCAAGACTGTGTCAATAGAGGGCGAACCGGATGTAGTACGAGCTTCTGCCGCTAGGAGGTGCGGCCTACATTCATAGTGAATCAGTGTGCCAGCCGGCATCATCGAATTAGCATTTGTTTCTTAGTTACGGGAGTTTTGGTAGTGCATTACACCGACCCTCCTGCGATTTCGGAATGGCGTGTGCATCAAATTTTGCCAAAGACTCGCCAAAACGGCTACGGAAACCTATGAAATGCTAAAGCAAGCATTTGGGGAGTCCGCAAACTTTTGGGTGGCATTCACGTTTTAAAAATGGCCGAACCTCTGGCGATTATGACGAGCGTTCTGGACGACCATCTTCGAGCACAACGCCCGAAAATGTTACGAAGATCGACGTCGTACCATCAACGACTTGTGCGACATTGTTGGGATAGACTATGGGATCTGTCAGCTGATTCTAAAGGAAGAACTCCACAGGCGACGCATCCTGTCTGAGGACCAGAAGCAGAATCGACTTCTCGTTTGTCAGGAGCTCAAAGATCTTGCAAGAACCGACCCCAACTTCCTTTCTAAGCTCCGTGTGACTTCTTCCTCTTCCCAAAGATGAAAATTCAGCTAAAGGGAAGGAGATGTGAGACGATAGAAGAGATTCAGGCAGAATCGCAGATGGTGCTTGACAGGCTGACAAAGAAAGATTTCCAGGGATGCTTCCAGGCTTGGCAGCGGCGCTGGGATCGTTGTGTTCACTCCCAGGGGAACTACTTCGAGGTTGATGGATGAATTTAATACCTGAGATAAGTGTACGGGTTTTTATAGGCGCAGTCTTGAAACTTTCTGATCGCACCTCGTATACGTTAGCTGAAGGACTCTGGGCTGACCGATCACCTGACTTAACTCACTGTGCCTTTTCCAACACAAGTTCTCTGTGCATCTAGAAACTTTAACCAAAGGGTTAATTTCCCGATCAATCTGTCCTCACGTCGCTTTCACGGATTTTAATAAAACTTCTGTCATAAGAACAATTCCCTAGTATGAAACTAATCTGCTTCTATCGATCAAGCAGTATTTTGATCACGGAGCAAAATGGACTTTACGTTATCTAACTTTTCCTTTGAGAGATTTTTGACTTGATGGCATCAGCTATAGGAGTATAAAAATTTTAGTTGAGTCATTAATGAGTTTTAAATTCTCATTACTTAAGGGCCTAATATATTTTGGACGTAGGATATCTCGCTTATTAAAACGTCAGAGAAACGTATTCATATATTATGTCTCACACAAGCCTATATCACTGTTTCCGAGAGTCGATAATGTAATATCAATACCTATAAAATGTGCGTCAACGAAAGCATTGTCCCACCTTCTGCTGTCGCTCTGACTTATAGGTTATGGCAGCACAACAATCCATACTAAGATAGCAGACGAACGCGAAGCGAAACAAATTGCATAATATCACTCCGCGTGTGAATGACTGATCCTCGTAACTGCCCCGGTCTTGCGACAGACACGTTCTTCCTGCACTGTGTCCTAACAATTATCTAATGGATTCCCTATTTCTGAATTACTTCTGAATCTGAACAAAACTGCGGGCCTAATATGACACAACGGAAGAAGAAGAAGAAGAAGAAGAAGAATTTCAGTACAGCGTACGTACAAGTCATTATTAACACTGGCTTGGATCGTGGGTGTTTCATCACGTATTTCCTTAAGTTGATTTGTATAAAAGGCTGAAATAAAACAAAAAAGGGATACATGCAAAAAGAAACCTCTTTCTTCGGTAAAATTATAAAATTATAAATGGGGAAGTTTTCGTAAGGTCGATGTCTTTCTAACGCCGCTTCGCTCAGGAACACATACCGTGTCAATCCTCTGTGTCGCTTATAAAACAAGATGAATCATGTGTATAAAGATTAAATAACGCAATTATTATCTACCATGAAACTTTGAATTTGGTTTGTCTTTGTGGTAAGAGTTGAAGAGCAGATTATAAAACAAGACGACTGAGTTATGCGGTGCTGATATCCTTACCCTTATATATTTTACATACATTAAAACACGTTTCGTCAAAGTCGGTCCGATGACAGCAAAGGAAACTGCTCTCAGAATGGCGTATGACGCATGAGAAGCCACATGATGACATCCCGGTGTGTGCTTCTGCCATGCACGGCTTTGAACAGAGGGCACAAATATCTCCCCATCTCCCTCCGCTCCCGAAATCGCTGTCAGTTGTGAGTTTCCTCGTCGAACGTTCTTTTATTTCAGTCCGCAGAAGCAACGTCAAGTTCAAAAGACATTGAAAGAATTGAAATTCTGCGAAAGTTTATCTTGCGTAATGAGGCCACTGGTCCAGTGAAGATGATTAACGCAATGAACGAGCAGAACCCATAGTTTACTCCGGAAACACAACGAAACACAAGCACAAACTTTGTTTGTGAAACAGAGTTTTCCACAAACACAACTTGCTTCGTAATTTTACGTTTATATTATTTAACTAAATGTCGACAGGAATACAACTTGGAAGACGTAGGCGTTGGTGGAATAATATTAAAACGTATCTTTCAGAAGTAGTAAACCTAGCATTGACTATATTAAATTGCCTCAGTAACTTTTGTGAAGACGATAATACACATTCAGGTTCCATAAGAAATGGAAATATCTTTAACACATCTATAATGTATAAAGCGAAACTTTCGCGGCGACTGAAGTTGATGAAAGTCTCTCGGGCTACAAGAGTCTTTCATCAAAATCTATAATGTAATTGCAATTACTTCACGGTCATTTCTAACATAATTGGCAACTTCGAAATTTAATTAGTGGATTTATGTTAGAAGAATTCTGAACAGAGTAATCAATCGGTTCATGATCACATACACGAGTTTGGCACCTGTAAAGGAACCAAAACGCAACAAAACACGAGAGGAAGGCGAAGCTCACCTTTGTCACGGCAGGCGTCGTCATCCCACCTCGCTCGCAGCTCGGCTGCAGACCGATGGCCCACTTCCCAAAGACTGAGAAAACTTTACTTCTTCACCCATAACACTGCTTTTATTGATCAAAAACTTTCCCGTCTTCACTGTCAGTTTGTTGTCATACGGTTGCCATGACGACATTCTCTCCTCGCCTGTTTCGTGCCCATGGTTACAAAGACCACGTGGTGAATTGGGCGAGATGAATAACTTGAACTGGAGTGACCTCGGAGAACCGTGCCTGAAACCTGCAGTTATATTCATCAGAACACAACGGAACATAGCAAATACTGTGTGTCGTCAAGAACTGCACTGAGTAACATCTCTCACCTTTTCCAGACGCAGGGTAAACTGTCAGTAACCACTTTGACAGAGTCCGCTCCGCGACGTTCATTCGGGATATCGCTGGTTCGAGTCGAAGTACAGTAACACGCCAAAGTGGCTCTGAAGGCGGCCAGACGCTGCTAATCCCAACTAGGGTTACTTTAGAGACATCTCTGTCACTCAAGACGAACAACCACGAAACCATATCCTCACATCAACGCCCATTTCTCGTCCGGCAGTACATAACCTCTCCACCTGGTACAAGTTCGTAAGACAACTCGTAAGAAACAAAACCACCAGAGCCAGCTTTCTTTCACACAAATGATACTGAAAATGCGCCCAGTTACAAACATCTGTTGAGTCGCCAGCTATGGTGACTTGAGGCTTGTCGGCGGTGCACTGGGACAGGTCACGACAACCTTTCAAATTCTTGTCTGTTCACAATTCACAGCCATCTTGTCATCTCGTTGGACTGCAGGATCATACGAGTCAGGCTAAATTGCCCGCAATAATCGTTCCAAATAATGTGTGCCAAGTCTCGTTGAGGAATTGAACGGTTATGCCCTACGGCGGTATTCAAAAGGTTCTGCAGGAGAACCTTCATATTCCCTTTTGTTTATTGAATTTTAGGACCTCTTCAATAGAATTTTATTAAATTTTTCTGACAGTGTTAGGAAGAATCTGAAATTTAATGCGGTAAAATGTAAATTTTCTTTTGCTTGGGTTTAGAAACTGGCTTCAGCGTGATAGCAGATTTGTGTGTGTTCCGGTTAGCACCTGGATAAGGTAAAAAGGACAAAAAGTTCAATAATGCCATCGTATTTCCAGCTGAGAAGACAGAATTATCGTTTTATTTCATTGTTGTGTGTCTCTGAATTTTGCAGCGTACCGATTTGCTTCAGTATCTTATACCATCCAAAAATGTAGCATATACATAGACCAACAGTTTCAAAGCTTCAGATGCGTTTCTTTTACAGGCAACTGTTCTGGAAAACTGAATGTTGGTAGGCCTGTAATGATCGTCGACTCTTTTTCATTCCCAACGACGCTAATCTCCCAATGTATAATTCTTCGCCTTTCCATCATCCAATGTTACTTAAATAACGCTGTCATCAAAATCCGAACCAGGTTCCTCGCTGCCTTCGTGATTTCGTCAGTGAGCCCTCCCCACCCCCCTTAGCATGCAACAAGCAGGAAACAGACTTTGTGCTCACTTCTGGGGACTTTATATGTATGGTTCATTCATTTCACTTTAATCCCTATATATACTTTCTACGTAACCCGTGGTGGACACACCGGGCGCTAAATTTCCATCCAGGCGCGTCATGAAAGTGTAATCAAATATGGCTTATACATTAACATTGCATCGAATGTATTCCTCCGCCCAGGCCGATATCAGATTCGCTCGACTAAAGCGACCGACTGAATGCATAGGGTTACACACAACGTGCTTGACGAGTACAGCACAAACATAATTCGTGACATCGTTATATAAATTATATTTTACTATATATTCACACTTCAAAAACACTGGAGACAAAAAATATGAAGGACACCTTTCCTACTAATCCTGCAGGGGTTCAATACCCTCAATTTTACCATCACCAGCATAATCCGTCTAGCTCTACTGGGAACGACCCGTTCTTCAAGTGCCTGAGCACTGAGGGTCCCAACTTTCCGTTGGCTTGATCTATAGACATTCGGTAGGACTCCTTGGACGAGGGATCGGCCCGTCGCAGGGCTACCTGTACACAGGACAGCACAACACAGAAAAAAAGCAGACAAACATCCATGGCTTAAGTGGGATTCGAACCCACGGTCCCAGCGACCAAGCGGCACAAGGCCCACGCCTCAGACCGCGCGGCCACTGCGAACCTTCGTCTAGCTCTACAAGCTGGTTAAATGACGTGTTGATCCTTGCCATGAAATGTTTACCCTGACTCCACATAACCTCAATCGGGTAGTGATAAGGGCGGAGAAGAAAAACAGTGTGACCTACCTTCTCCGTTGTTCTCGACGACGTATGCATCATTCTTGCAAGCTTCATACAACTTTGTCATGTCAGTACCACTGTGACAGGAGGTGTTGCGAGTTGCGCATGAACAACGGACGTACCTTCGTGTAACGACCCGGGAAGACAGTTAAGGAAGGTCGCTTCCCGAGAGATTGGGACCAGAGACTATCAATCTTCCTGCTGGGCCACAGAACACCAACCCATAATGCCCACTGGCACAGTGTTCGGGAAATAACTACGTCTGCTCTGTAAAATATTGTTTGCCGCTCCCCCTGACAAGGAGCAATAACATTTGTTTCCCGAAAACACGTGAAGGTGGTCTGTGACAGTAATGCCCACTATGACAGCCTGGCCAATTTTGCAGGATTCGAGGAGGGGCTGTACCGTCCGACCCGGTCCAGAAGAAAGTCACCTTAACTGCAGCCATCTTGGAAAGTACCACACAAGATAATCACCAGGATTAACGACGGACATCACACAGTGAAAAAGTATGATATTTCAACGCCATCCTATAGACATCGCAGCTAGCACAGATCATTCTGGAATTGAGGCCTAGTGGTCTGTAGCGTATATAAACTACAAGGAAGTCATGAACTAAATCAATCTTGAATTCATTGTCAACCAGAAGCGTACCTTGTTTATTTTAAAGTGCTCTGCACGCGCACACTGACTTGAGGGAGTAAACTGTTTCTGTCCGACATCATGAAAGTCGAAGAACACATTTACAACCAGACAATCAGGGCTGTGATCTGTGAAGCAACGGATATTAATCCAGGAAATAATCAACTATATTATATTCTTTTCAACAAAAAACCCAACGTGTAATCACCAGTTGTGTTACACTGTGACATATGTTGAAATATGTGTCGAGTGGTCGGTGGTCATTTTTTGTAATCACTATTTTCTGTTATTTTACACCTGACACGTCAAAAGTCAGTTAACAATGAAGACAACAACGCTACGACACAAATGTTTACTGCTTGGAATTTTCTCATTATTTTTGATGGGTAATATTCTAGTTTTTAAATGCAGGTGGAAGAAGTTTGAGGGCCAACAAATTTAACTTGGAATATATTTGATGATACTGTAACATACGCAATTCTGCGATTTTTCAGACAAACAGTGCATTCTGTAGCACAAGTGAATGTTCCAGTATTTCACAAAGCTAATACCTGTAAATAAAAATTAGGAGTGAGAATTATGCAAGTAATTATAACACACACACAGTTTAATAAAAAAAAATGTGCTGGCAACACAACACATTCAGCGCAGAGACAGTGATTTCAACTGAAGAGCAATTTGCAGTATATCCTGTTTTGTTTCTGCTGGCAGACTGTTGTCCTCACAGTACTTGACGACCGTGCTTGCATCGTTCTTCAGTCTTTCGATTACTTTGATCACGCTGTCCTCGGCAATCATCAATTTTGGCCTTTTTGGGAGCCGATTACCAGTGTCACCCTCATCTGACGCGCGAAATTCCGTTCTTGACGTCAGCTTACTATTGGCAACATCCTCATGAGCTTGTACAGAAGATGTGCAACGGTGTGAAAACTGCGCCTGTGATTGACGTTTAATATAAGATTCGTATGATAAGAAATTTTTGTCGGGTTCCTTTGTAGGTAACTTCTGCAAATATCTTCTGGTCTTCTGTTGAAGGTTTACACTTTTCTTGACAGACAACGCAAGAATACTTTCATGAGAGTTTACATGTGCAAAATATGTGAACACTTCTAAAGTCATTTGTTGCACCAAATGATTTTCATCTTGCAGAAGAGTTGAAAACAATCCTGCTATGAGCTGGAACACTTTTATCTGGTCTGGAGTTGGTTCTACAACCAAATTTGCAAGTCTTTTTAAAACAGTAACAACCTTGAGCCTCAAAACTGAAGATCCACAGGTACAGACGTTATTCAGCCTTTCAAGAACCTGAAACAAATAATTTTGTTGGTAAAATTCTACCAGACTACACAGCGCTACAACCCAAAAGACAGCCATCTTGGCAGCACATGACATTCTGCATGGACATTCATTCAACATCGGATGGGCTTGAAGGGTAAATCAAAAAAAGAGAGAGAGAGAGAGAGAGGAATAAGGAGATTCAAATGTGTTACGAATACAATACGAAATGTTGGCTTGGTTTACGTAAGTCACAGTGCTAATAAGCATACCTTAATTAACTGCAAGTTCGTCATGTGGGGAGCAAGAGGAGCAGAAACTGAGCACAGAACGCATACAAAATGTTCCATCCACTGTGATCCTTTGACACTCGTCTCCTCTGCTGCCAGAGTCTCATTAAGGACAACGTGCTGCCACAGTGTCACTACATGACCTGTTACGGCTAACAACATGTCTCTCTGGCTCGGATTCAGCATTTCTACACACTGTGAAGCAGCGGCAAGGGTGTCCACCTGAAACAAAGAGAACAGGATGTAATAATCTATGCATGAAAATGGTCAATTATCTACACAGGCATAAATGAAAAAGTAAATATACAAAAGGAAGAATAAGAACACTTCCAATACCTATTATTCATTACTTAACCCGGTGGTATGAACAGGGGCAGACTCTGGTAGACAGTGTCTACCTAGTTCCAGATCTTCTTTTAAGAAGTCACTTCCAATGTGTAATGCCGTTCCCAACAACAAAACTGATTAAGATTGCTGTCTTCTGGGTTGTTATGCCGTGTAGTATGGTAGATGTTTACCGTTTCAGACGTCATGCTGTCTCCATCATCAGGGCGATGAATGAGCAGTATGACCTCTGAAACGTTATTGGACATCGACCATACTACACAGCGCAACAACCCAGAAGACAGCAATCTTCATACCCACCGCTGTGAAAACCTCAAATCCTATATAAAACTGATTAAATCTACTGTTGTGCTTTGCTATTAGCAACAATGACCCTGTGGTTCGACTACCTGAGCGTTAGATGCTTGAAGAAGTGCATATACGAACCATAGAATTATATCGCTCAATTGAAGCTGGAAGCGTAAAGAAGTTCTCTAAATGTGAGATGGCAGATCTCATTAAACTCTCAGTCACTGATGCCCTAAGCTTTTCTGGCAAAACTTTCACACTTAAAGCCTGCCATAGAAAAGGGTCAGTCTGAGGAGGAAACATTTCAACGATCTGCATCTTGTGTTTATTAGGCAGGAATGAGAACAGTCTGTCGGCCATCGCCATCAAGTACGTCCTCTCAGGATGACCGCGGTGGTGGGCAAGTTGCCTCATGACTTCAGCCAGATGACACAATTGCTGGAAACACAATTCTGAGCTTCCTGACCTGCAACAACAAACACAGCTGAGTGACAGGCCCAAAAGAATTACTCACAAAAAATTCTCAAAAAACACACATAAAAAATAATTTCAAGTATTTTTAAATGTGTTCTGCTAATCAAAATGCATCGGTAACGAAGTGCACGAAGCCCAGCATATATTGAAAAGTGTTATGAATGGAATGGATGTGTACATCAATCTTTATCGACAACATTTCAATGGGTGTTATTTTTAAGAAGTAACTTTGTTATAATGTTCCTCAATAATTGCAAATATTCGTTTTTCAATTCACATTATTTTGAATAATTCTAAATAACTGTAGTCAGCTACCATGTCTAAAAATGCTGAATGAATACTGCCCCAACCTGTACAATGCTGCACAATACCGTATCATCCAAAACGTTGCAGAAATCACAGTAATGGCAAGAAAAGATATGTCCTAAAGTTCACTACAATATACTGAAGTTTTGTAACAGTAATTTACAATAGATAGCTCCATCATCAGGGCGATGGAGGCAGCAAGGACCTCTGAAACATTGGTAAAATTCTACCAGACTGCATGGCGCAACAACACAGAAGACAGCCATCTTCAGACTCATCACTGTGAAATTCTCAAATCCTGATTTACAATAGTTTTGATGACTTGCGTAAAAGGAAACATAATATACAGAAATGTATCTACTAAATGAGGAACTTGGCAATTCTAACTAAAATAATAAATGAAAGCTGCTACCTAGCCACGATGCACCAGATGTCCATGGCAAGTAAAGCCCGCCACACAGTGGACTGCAAGACACTCTCAAGTAGAATCTGCTCCACTGAAAGGAATTCCTGGCCTGAAGCTGATAAAACAAGTCCTGAAGCATGAGTTACTATAGTCTCATACAAATCTGTCATCCTCTCGGGCCCTCCATCATGTCTGATGCCAGGCATTTGCACATCCCAACTCATTTCTGCATGGCCTGAAGGAAAAAACAAAAAATATTTTCCAGCATAAATTAGATATTTGTAGAAACTGCTAATATGGGATACTGGGAACGACCCGTTCTTCAAGTGCCTGAGCACTGTGGGTCCCAACTTTTCGTTGGCTTGATCTATAGACATTCGGTAGGACTCCTTGGACAAGGGATCGCCCCGTCGCAAGGCCTCTACCTGTACAAAGGACAGCACAACACAGAAAAACGCGGACAAACATCCATGGCTTGAGTGGGATTCGAACCCACGGTCCAAGTGACCACGCGGCCACTGCAGACCCCCGCTAATATGGAGTCTAACCATAACAGGGCAACACAATAAAATGGGTCTAAAATGGAATATTAATTAGACATAACTATGCCCTTACTGCATTAAATATCTAGTTATGAGAATACAAAGTAAAAACAAATTAAAATTGCTTCTCATAATGAAACCCATTTAATGAGGAAACAGTGGAAAAATAATAATAATTAATATGAAATTGTTTACTTAAATATTTCAAACTGTGTACAGTATTACCCAGTGTATAAGATACATAATGGTTTAGAATGTAAAAATTCCTTTTTCTATACTAAATGTCTCTCAGAATCTTCTCCTTACATACTTTTGAAAATCAACACCAGACAGAGTTCACAGATTCGGCTGATCGATCACCTGACAGGATAAAACGTGGCATAGTAACTCACCTCTGTAAAGAGTTGTACCTCAGCTTTCATTAAAACATGAGTTGGTCAGATTGAATTTTATGTGATGATTTGGCATGGAACGACATTTTATCACACTACTGAAAAATCAAAGTACTAACAAAACACAGTGAAGGGCAAAACAGGGGGAAATAAATAAATAAATATGAAGAAAATGTCTTCAAATGCAATAACTAAATTCAGACCTACTACACACAATGAAGTTCACAATATTATACATAAAGCTATAGTTTCTCAATCAAAATCAAGATAAATTTTTAAATCAAATAAAAATACATACTATGAGCCCATTTCTAATAAAATTAAACTTGATTACTTTGATTTTTGGATAATGAGACAGACAACTCATAATCTTCATGCTGTGAAGAAAGTTCCATCATTAAAAAGTATATTATCAACACTGAAATAATAAATTAAATTTCCTGGATGTAAGGAGTTTTGAAGAATTCTTGAAGAAGACCGGTGTTAAATTTAAAAGGTGTAATAATAAGAGGCCCTTGTTGATTTAGAAAAGTTATATTGTGGCACAGAGGAAATGACAACATTGAAGTATTTCAACTTGTTTGGATTCAATATCCGCCACTCCGTAGACTCCATCCTCCAAGGACACGGTCATGAAACTGCATGGTTGCCCCAAGATTACCGAGACCTAATGCAACAGAATTTATCTGGAACACTGTTACAATCAAAGTAGCTTGTAAAAATGTTGGTCAAAGTGCAACTGATATTCAAAAGCTTATGATGCAAGTTACTGAAAATGTAAACAAGAAAAACTGGTAAAGTGCTATTTCATATGTGACAACAAGTAGCAACTTATTACAGGGCAAGGGATCTATTAGAGGAATAAATAGAACACGTTTTAATAAACTTGGTGGGGAAGATTTAATATTAATTCCAGAAATGACAGTGATTCATCTATTTCTCGCTGAGAGGCACACTGTTTCAGGCACAGGTTAAATGCAATAATTTTTGTTACGGAGAAGTATGCTCTTTTAGTTTTGCATTGCATTATAAAAAACATAGTAATTTCAGTAATCATAATCATATTGTATCAGTAGGTGAACCTGCCACTGATAAGAAATTTCCCTCCCTTCCTTCCTTGTAGCTGAGCTGAGACAACAGCACTCAATATTTTCCATCACTAACTAAAGATTTAACGTAGCCAGGTAGTACTGTATCTATGTAGCAAGAGACTTCAGACTCGTAGTCTGGGTCAAAAACACACAACTACATACAACAGCGCTTTGCAATATATTTATACAAAAGTGAGGACCTGTTTGATGGAAGAATGTTCAGGTAAACTAATGTACTATCATGACAATTTGTTGTTGTTCTGAGACTGTACTTACAATGATCCAGAGCTCTGAACAATACAAACAGTATGTTGTCTTCTGAATCACAGCAAAACCACAGTTTTCTTACATCCTCATTGCAATGAAGAAGTTTTTTGAGAATTGAAACAGACAGCAGCAGGAAAGCAAGTCGCTCACTTTGTGGTTCCACCAATTTATTACCATAAGCCATGAATTTCTGGAATCAAAATAAATCACGCATAATCAATGAACTGAGTAATGTACCAACTTATGAAAAGCTACACGCAAATGCACTAACATGTCAACAGATTATGCATGCAGTCATGTACTGTGCTGCCATCTACTAGGGTGGACAACAATGGCACTTCATGGGGACGAAGGGTCAAGGGCTTCAACATCCTGGAAAATCACCCATTTACTCCTAGCGTCTGTTAACATGGGCAGCTATATAGGTGCAACCATCCAGTCACTTTCTTAAATAAGCCATCACTCAATACAAAAGGAATCTGTGAATTTGATTTACTTTAAAAACCTTGTGTTTCTAATTTTTATTATTAATGGTATACACAAATTTCCCTAGCAAACAAATGTCCTCCACCGATGTTTAACCCACTTGAGCCCACAAGCACATCTACATACTTTTATACTCTGGTCACCAAAAATGTACTTGGGTCATGTTGCGATCTATGAGTGTTACTGTGGTATGATATGACTTTAAAAACCTCACTCCTAGAACTGATTAGGATTTGCATCCTCAGCTCTAAACAAAGCAGTTATTCTTATGATAAACTATTAGGTTTCTGAGGACACAGGGCCTTTCTAAAAGGATCCTCCAGGTTTAATTGCACATAATTACCTAACTACATAGCCAACACCACTGTATTTGGTGTAAAAGTTCAGTAGTCAAGAGAATGAGCTGCCCCTGGTGGCAATGTCATTACGCAGGAGTCATCAAGATAGCATACACAATAGAACAGCACATGCTTCTAGTGAAATTTCTTTTACTAGAGTGCTAGTGTTATGGAATTATCTTAGGGTGGTTAATAAATCTTTTGAAAGTGTTACAAAGTTCAAATATTTGGGAACAATAACAAATCCAAATGATACGCATGAGGAAGTTAGGAGGAGACTAAATTCCGGAAATGCTTGCTACTCCTCAGTTCAAAATATTTTGTCTTCTCGTCTGATTTCTAAGAACCTGAAAATTAAAGTATACAAAACAATAATCTTGCCTGTAGGAGAGAGGAGTTGAAGGAGACTGGATTTTGTTGGCCCAGGACAGGGATCGGTGGAGAGCTCTTGTTAGTTCGGTGATGAACCTTCGGGTTCGGTAAGCCATCTAGTTAGTTAGTTAGCTAGTGTTATGGTTCAGCATGAATTCTGAGTCAAATCTGAGGGCAGGAAAGCACCAAGCAGGTCTGCATTAAGCAGATTAGCTAACAAGTCCGAAGTGGCTGGGAGCATGATCAAATTAAGAAGGGTCATGACGAACTTATTTACTTACTTAAACTGTACACGCACAAGAAATGTTTCTGTGACTGGCTGAATGGGACTATATTATCCAATTATGTCACATTTAAAGCTTAAATACTTGGAAGATCAGACACACTTGTGTCTAAAATGCTTCTATGGGCTCCTTAGATTATCAGAAATTCATTTATAGCTGAATTATCCATATTGACTCGTGTTTTTTCTAACATCCCATCAAAAATTCTAAAATATTCATAGTTCTCTCCAAGAAGTTCTCCTCTGTTTGCTGTCCCACAAACCATCCAAATCAGACAAATCTCAGAACACTGAAGCCAGTCTGGAAATTCCCCTTACTTGGATTCCAGACAGTGAGTTCAGCAAGTAACAGGGCAGTTCAGTTTAACCTAGTCTCTTAGATCTGGATGGTAGAGTAAATTCCTGTTCCCCAATACCCATTGGATAGGAGGCTGGATGGGACCCAGAGCCAGTCTGGATGCAGAGGCTAGAGGAAAAGTACTCTGCCCCTGTCGAGGACCAAGATGGATGAAACAGCCTCTGCAGTGTGAACTCTCGGGCAATATTATCATAAATCCAATTAGAATGCATAATTTTTGTACAAATCCCTACCTCTGTGAACTCAACTTCTGCAATTAGATGTGTAAGCAGAGGTTCAGCCCCTATGGTCACGTATGTCTCCACACTTTGTATAAGGTCCTCAGGTACTGTCTTCAACTGCAGATAAGGACGAGAATACCTGAAGAATGAATATATGTTTAAATGAGTGGTGTTTCAGAGGCTAACCTAATATGGAGCTTCTCAGCGAATGCCAATAATCTTTAGTCTACCAGATTTAAAACTCTCCATGTAGGCATTGTAGGCTGAAATTAAAAATGCTGCATTTAATTAAAACTGTGTTCCCTTTCAAAAACATAAATTTCTCTGAACTACCCATAACAAAAATATAAAACAAGAAGCATCTTGACATGAACAGAGCATTACTAAATAATTTATATTATACGTATAATTCGTTTATCGAGCCGTGGCACGCAGAATGCAGTGATAAAATCCAGCTCACACTTCAGTTTTCCCCATGGCATTTATATTACATTATACATCTTTGAAGAAGTTTCTGCCTCACTGGCTGGTACATCACTTTAAAGTTACAGCATGTCTCTACTCTGTGGCAAAAGTAAATTTGAACTGAAACATATATCAGCAATGTGTCTTTTCTCTATGTAGATGAATACAAAAAATGAATTTGTTGGCTGTTCATAAGCACAATAGACAGTGCTGCTCTCATGGCAATGTCTGCAATCATAAGAAATGATTGGGGCACATTTTGTACAAGCCGACCTTGACTCTCAGCAGATAAGGTGAAATAACATTGTTGACACCAAAAGAAGAATATCACTGTGAACATATCTTTGTAATCTCTCACATCATGACTTCAGCATGTCTGCTGTTAATGTGTGAAATCATGCAAGCCAGAATAATGATACAGACATGACAGAAGAACTTTTCCTCCTTCTGGTGCACAGAGCGATACAGGTAATGCCATTTTGATATCTCCTTAATACGTTTCCCCACCTTTGTAAGCAATGCGGTCACCACTTATGAATTAATCCTTTATTCCCTACCACATGTGAGCACTTTGGAATATTATTTATATTTCAACACAGGGATGTGATGTTTATGTTTTTTGAGTCACTAGTTCACACACGATAAGAGCTTTGCAGATTAAAGCGTAATTTGCTGCAGAACAGACACACACAGAATGGGGCAGCATTCATTTATAATTTCAAAATGTGCACTAGTCAACCACAGTTTATTCGAACTGATTCAAGGTAATGTGAACTGAAAGACGAGTGTATGATATTATTGAGGAACACTGTAACAAACTTACTTCTTAAAAGTAACACCCATCAGATGTTGTCCATCAAGCGTGAGGTACTGATGCACTCGATTCATAACACTTTCCACTATGTGCAGTACCATGGCTGGTGGTATGGCATTAATTTATTCAGAAATTTACTGCTCGGCAGTTGAAGAACACATTTGTTGGCTTGTGATTTCTTTTCATTCGGCTACTTGAAAAGCAAAGTGTTTCAAACACATCTGGCATACTTAAATACTCAAACAAAGAATTTCTGCATCGGTGCATTAATCTTGATGTATGACATCTGACTGGTGTTATTTTCATGAAGTAACTTTGTTATAATGGTCCTCTGTAATGGCAAGCACTTGTTCTTCAATTATTTTGAATAAATTTTAATATAATGTGGCCAACTAGTATATCTTTATAAATGAAGAATGAACATTGCCCCACTCTGTATAAGCAGTGTCAGAGTCTACAGTCTGTTGACATGTCAAGAATACAACTTAAGGCCAGTGAATCACATTTTGGTAAAGTGGGACAACAAAGGTTATGATATAGTAATAACAGCAGATGAAGCACAATGCTATTAAAAATACAATGTAACAACTGCCTACATATAATAAAAAATGTTTAAAAAAATCACATCCTGGATATTATAATAGCAATCAAAAATATGTTTATGATGCAGTTATGATCAAGCAATGTCTATTAATTCAGAAGTTTGTCTACTTTTCAAAATACTTATTCTTATACTGTTGTCTCTACTATGTGGAGCACAGGGGCCTCCTCCTGGAGGTTTCTGATCTATTTTAGACATTTTGTAGGGACTAAATTACTGATTACAATAAAAAATATTGTTTTACCTACTGTTTTTCCTGCAGGAGGGGGAGACCCTATTTAGTTAGGCAGGCCTGTAAATAAAGGGTTTCACTGACTAAATGCTGCTATGATTACAGCAAATACAGCTCCTTCTCCTAACCATATGTAAACCATCCACTTCCTGGTTCAAATCTCAGTCAGTTTACTGCCTATACTGACTGGAGTCTTCTGCAAGTTTCCTCAGTCCTTCTACATGAAAGACAATCTAATACTATGACACCTTCGACAACCATTTTCACATCTCATATCTCACAAAATTGCTCCACCTGACACAATGTTGTACAATATAAGACAAATCAATCAAGCATGAAATCAACAACAGTAGCGTACCAATATTCATGAATCAAAGCCACGTACCTGTGCAATGTGAGAAGCATCTGAAACAACTCTTGATGACAGGAGCCTAAGAATCCACTGTACTCGTCACAGAACTTGATAATGATTTTCAGCATAAAGTTTCCAACTTTTGCAGCCCGTGTCACAGCCTTCATGTCAGGCGGGTCCTGAGCACCAATCACGCAAGTCATAATTATATAACTATGTACTACGTCACCTAAATGAGCATCTGCCCACATTACATGAATGCTAACAGGACAATGGTCTTGTAACAGCGCAGTTATTATGACAGCGCTTGGTAAGACTTGTGCAAAATGTAAGGAATTTAACTATATAAGCCCACTGCTTTAGTAATTTTCAATACAACTTCACAGTTACAGTAGGGAGGTTTGTTTTAATGGTCATGGTGTCAATAAGAGACACTACAGGTATATTTGGTCTGTTTGAAATATTAGTGTCTTAAAGTAAATTCTGTTACATTGTACCATGAGCCAGTTAGATGAAATCACAATTAACACTTGTGGATCCTGAGTAAAATAACTGAAAATTACATGAAGATTGTACAGACTGTACAAGTACTTAAGTTAATTGAAAAATTTGAGAACAGATGATCAGCAACAGAATTAGCCAAAGATTATGGGGTAGGGACTGAGTGATTGCATCTAAAAAACAATGCTACTGGGTTGACCTTCTCCAAACTCTTTCCAGTGAAGAGAATAATGCAATAGCATTAAGGGAAAAAATTATGTGTTGGATACTATTTGTAGCATATCTCGGCCATGGTCTTCCATGAATCCTGTGATGCTGGTTCAATCATGGAAGTAACTTCTTTTAGATCTAGAAGAAAATGATTTACAATGTTTTCCTAATGAAATTAGCTCTGATTCCACAGTGTGGTACTTACTGTTTCTACAACTGTTGCTATGCTATCAGAAATATTCATGGCCAGGAACTGAAGAGGGCCTGTCACATCAAGGCGTGGTTTCAAATGTTCAACGTACTGAAAGGCCAGGCGGGTGTATCCTTTCCACTGCTCTGCCATAGTCTTCACATCCAAGTCAACCACCAACTGCCCTATCTGCCCTAGCATATCTAGTACTGGCACAGACAATGTACGACACAATCAAACACTTTTTAATCCAGAGAAACGTCAAGTACAAGTACAATTTTAAATGACCAAAACTCTTGTTTCTCATCAGTATAATTACACAAAAAAAATCCTAGTATGCTATAAGAAATAATTAGGGAAGTTTCTTAAATTTAGTCATCATTTAAATAACAATAAACTCAGTAAACAAAACTTCTTCTTCAAACAAAGAGACATCACTTTTGTAATTACTTGGTGTAACTTTTCTCCTAGCAGTACACAGTACATCATATCATCATTTTTCTCCATAAATAAGAAGATTTGTCTAAAGTTATTATACATTATGTATTCTTATACCAACTTTTGTTGCTCACTTATTATAAATAATTGTTGTTGTTGTTTCTTGGCTCTACAACCTGGTTGTGGGTTTTTGCCGCTTCCTTTTTCGGAGGTTTCTTGGTCTTGAAGTGTGCATTTATGAGCAGTGAGTGACCAGCCCACTGCCTCTGCACAATTTCTACTCAATCCTGATTTGACTGCCAGAGCCATCTAGCTGTTAATCAGGAGACTTGGATGAGAAATGGTCGCTGAATTTTGCTTACAAAACATCTTGTATCATGCTTGTAACGTTCTTTTACATGCCGTAAATCCTCAACATGGGACCGCCAGCTTTACTGAAGGAAGTTGTGCTTCAGATTTTTATCACCCTTAAAAATCCATTGACCTCGGCCAGGATTCAACCCGCAAACCTTGGATCCAGTGACGAACACGCTAACCACTAGTCCACCGAGGGCGAGTATTATAAATAATATTGTTTCCAATATTGTAAAGGCTTATTTTGTGTAACATCTTAGTAATATAGGTGGTGGTCATCCACCACCCTCCCTGACACATCAGAGCAACTGGATCTTCCTTTCTAGGAAAAATGTACTCTGTGTGTGCACACACACAGAGCATCTGTTTCCAATGGCACACAATGGTATGATGTCCCTGTACTCTTTTCATAAAACAAATCAGTAAAATAGTCGAAATATGTCACGAAAAAAAGAGAATAAAAACACACAGGGAGAAACAAGGAAGTAGGGGGGAAAACAACAAATAACTTGGCCAGGACAAACAGCCGAAACCTAATGTGGGCACATCTGAAATGGAGAAGTACTGCCAGCACCCACAACTGTCAGTAGTGTTCAGCCCTTTGATTGCCAAGTATTTCTTTGCTCACTGACTCTTGCATTTTGAAGAAATTTGCAATACTTCCAAACACTTGTCAAAACACGGTACAATTTATTGCTGACCATACAAATCTCACCACAAAATTTAAAAAATTGTAACAGATTGGAATATCAGAGGTGAAGCAATGTACTATTGTCTGCAGCAGCTTCAGATATGCAGGTTCCAGTGGTCGAAGGATAAACGAAACTGTATTGCACAAAACATTAACTTGGTCAGTTGTGAGTAGTGATTTACTACGAGAATACAAACATTACCATTTGATACTAAATCTAAGGTTTCCTCTCATTTGACTGTCCATTTCAATCCTCTAATTTAACTGTCAATTTCAATGGTCTAAACTCAATTAACTTTCTACTTCTGATGATTTTGTGTTTGTTTTCATGTTCAGATCCAGCATATCTCAATAAAACTCCATATGTTGATTTTGCTATATTTAAATTATAAATGTAACTGAAATAACAAGCAGAAAATAGTAGTCATGAAAGTAACTAACTTTCTGTAAGAAGCATCAAGTCATTCTCATACATGCATTCGAACTGAAGATCCCCTGAAACCACTTCCAGAAAATGCAACTGCAATTCACGACTCTTCTGGAATAGTAATGTTAGGACTTCACTAAGAGCTTGGAATAATGTGCCATACATCTTCTCACTGAAACATAACCCAATATATGGTGTAACTTTCTTGTAATTACTGAGTTTTTATTTACTGAAGGACAGATGCATAACAAGAAGCACACATAGGCTTCAAGAGATTGTTAGTGTTTTTACATATATCTAGCACTAGGAGCAGACAGAAGTGAAAACGTGTTACAATGGAATGTATGGGTGTGCAGAACTAGGATGGGACTCTTCAGCGCAAACAAAAGTGAAGTACAGCACAGCAATACAAAGAAAAGTGAGGTGAACTTGATAAGTGTTTGGTTTCTTGGCATCATAATATCAAAGATGCTGCTTTTTAGGGGCAGTGAAACAAATCATGGACCAGAAATGAAGGAGAAGATGTAAAGACAGACAGATGATCACTGCAACTTATCAGTATAACTCCTGATTATGTTCTGTTGCTGAAACTGAATTGAACTTTGATAAAATTATGAGTTTGCTAGAGATGTAATTCCATCTCAGGGCAACTGTACAGGTATATTATTAAAATGGATAGGAAGAGAAGGTTTGAATTTTATAAGGAGATGTACCAAAAGTTATGTGACAAATTTTTACAACCAGTACATGATTGGTGTACATTTATAGAAATTCCCCAAGACAACAAACAAAACTGTTATCAGTTGACAGTTAAATACTGGCAGTAAACAACACATCTGGACACTCAAATCCTTGAAAGACAATGTTATGAATGGCAAAAAGGTAACAGATTTGAAAGCTGGGTGAAGAAGGTGACAGAGAAGTTAGATAGTACATAACTTGCATATATTTGGCAGTCAGCAGAAAAGGGATACCAGCAGACAACAGATAATTATTACAGAGACACAATGATACAGAAAAGTGAAAAATATTCTTGAAGATTCCATTAGTCTCTTATAAGGAGATGAAGCATAAATGGGAGTGGGGAAAACTGTACAAACAAAATGCAGATATGAAACTTCAGAAAACATTTAGATAAAGATGGACATAGGAAGGAAAATAATACGAGAAAAGCACAGTATAGTAACATTCAACTAATAGTAGAATGTAAAATAAGAGTGTGTATGAGACAGCACAGTGTAAAACCAGGAATAACTGGTGAAAAATCTCACAATAACTTGTATTTGTAAATGAGACCAACATAAATAAATTTCATTTCATATTAATATACAATTCCAAGAAGTGCGGCGATTACAGGACCATCAGCCTAATCTCACATGCGGCGAAGATAATGACTAGAATACTGACTAAAAGACTAGAAAAGAAGATAGAGGAAGTGATGGGAGA